TGTGGTTCAGAGTTCTGGGACCATCCCCTGAGCCTGCTTGGTCGGGTATTCTGTGTTATTGTTGGCGGAGCTCTCTGCTATACATCCACCCGATCTGCCATCTTGTTTGTTCTCCCCTCTGAGAAGATTTTAAAACATGAAAATCTGAAGTCTGGACCTCCAGAGTTCTAGGAAAAGCAACATCTGTACAACCAGTTCTGGTACATCTAAAGCCCAGTACACGAGCCCCAAATCTATGACACTAGCCTTGAAATAAAAAGTCAAGGACAAAGAATCAGACTCCAAGTCAAAATTTTTCTGGCACATGGATTAATTTGACTGTATCAGTCACCCTTCAGCACCCCTATAAAAAAACAAACCCACTACCATGTGGTGATGGTGGTGATGGTTCTTAGACGCTGTGGAGTTGGTTCTGACTCATAGCGATCCTGTACATTTTTTCCGAGGTTGTAAATCTTTATGGGAGCAGTAAGTCTCAAGCAGAGTGGCTGGTAGGTTTGAACTGCTCACCTTGTGGTTAGCAATCCAGTTCTTATCCTGTAGTACCCAAGCCCCTATACTACCTGTTAAGAAACCTGGGACTAGAGGATTTCGATTTGTACAGAATTTAAGAGCCATAAACCAGATAAACTAGTCAAAGACCTTGTGGTACCTAACCCATATACCCTGTTAGTATCCATTCCAGTAGATTGTGCCTGGTTTACCATCCTTGACCTGAGGATACCGTGGCAAGCTGTCTACGAAAATTATCACAGGACCCAAACTATACAACTATCAGTAACTCAGCAGTGCATGATCTGTGCCTAGAACAACCCCAAACCAGGGCTACCAGTCGTGACCATGGGAGTTCAGGCATGAGGAGGAGAAGACTGGCAGACAAATTTCACAGTTAGGCCCCTACTACTTGTCAAGATTGGAGCAAGACTCATTAACAACCTGCGATATGCAGATGATACAACCTTGCTTGCTGAAAGTGAAGAGGACTTAAAATATTTACTGATGAAGATCAAAGAGCACAGTCTTCACTATGGATTACATCTCAATGTCAAGAAAACAAAAATCCTCATCACTAGACCAAGAAACAACATTCTTATCAATGGAGAAAAGATTGAAGTTGTCAAGGACTTCATTCTTCTTGGATCAACTATCAACACTCAGGGAAGCAGCAGTCAAGAGATCAAAGGACTTATTGCATTAGGCAAATCTGCTGCACAAGACCTTTTTAAAGTGTTGAAGAGCAAAGATGTCAGCTTTAGGACTAAAGTGTACCTGAACCAAGCCATGGTATTTTCAATAACCTCATATGCATGCAAAAGCTGGACAGTGAATAAGGAAGACCATAGAAGAATTGATGCTTTAAGTTATGGTGTTGGAGGAGAATATTGAAAGTGCCATGGGGCTGCCAAAAGAATTAACAGATGTGTGTTGGAAGAAGTGCAGCCAGAGTGCTCCTAAGAGGTCAAGATGGCCAAACTTCGTCTCTCATACTTTGGACACATTGTCAGGAGAGACCAGTCGCTGGAGAAGGATATCATGTTTGGTAAGGTGGAGGGTCAGAGAAAGAGGAAGACCCCCAGCGAGATGGATTGGCAAAGTGGCCAAAAATGGGCTCAAGTTTGGCAACAATTATGAGGTTGGCTCAGGACCGGGCAGTGTTTCGTTTGGTTGTGCATAGGGTCGCTATGAGCGATGGCACCTAACAACAACAACAACTTACACTGGACTGCTAACTGCAAAGTCCACAGTTTAAATCCACCAGTCACTCTGAAGGATAAAGATGAGGCTTTCTTCTCCCATAAAGATTCACAGACTTGGAAAACCTATACAGGATCCCTGAAATGGAACCGATTCTATAGTACCCAATAACTTGTGGAGTCAAGTGCTTACTAGTTTTCATAGATACTTTCACTAACTGGGTAGAGGCGTTTCCTGGCTGTACTGAAAGAGTTAAGCCCTGCTTAGAGACTATGCATGATTTGGACTACCTATATCAATTCAAAGTGATAATGCAGGAGCCTTTATAGCATAGACAGTACAAATCTCTGGACTCAGGAATAAAGTGAAGACAACATGCAGAAACCCTCCACAGGGTTGTTACGAGTCGGAACTGACTCGATAGCACTTAACAACAACAGCAACAACATGCATCTTGGAGACCAGTTATCCAAAAAGACTGAAAAAAAAAAAAAAAGGCATATCCTACAGGAAACTGATTAAGGATTGTCAAGAAACCATTTTAACTTGGTTACAGTTTCTGCCTGTTGCCTTATTTCAAATATGAAAGGCTTCTAGTAGCAGTTGTTGCTGTTGTTATGGGCCGTGGAGTCGGTTCCGACTCATAGCGACCCTGTACAGGGTTTCCGAGACTGTAAATCTTTATGGGAGCAGAAAGCCTCATCTTTCTCCTGCGGAACAGCTGGTAGTTTCAAACTGCTGACCCTGAAGTTAGCAGCTCGATTCGTAACCACTATGCTATCAGAGTTCCTTATTCTGACTCATAGCAACCCTGTACAGGGCTCCGGAGGAGCACCTGGTGGGTTTGAGCACCACCAACCTTGTGATTAGCAGTCCAGTGCTTATACTACAGCACCACACCAGAGATATCTATATTTACTTCTTATGCTAATAATGTGTGTCCTCCCTACTATGCTTAATAAGTTTACTTGTTCCTAAAAATCAAGATGTATTTTCTCCCCACCCCTCTGTCAGTAGTTGTATTAAGAGCAGGGTGGGAATTCAATACCCTATCCCACTTGCACTAACAGGTGACCAATGTCACAAGCTTAAATTAATTGATTGCTGAATATGCTCTCATTAGCCAGCTCCTGGGGGTCAAGGCTATTACCGTCATAACTTTAGAGCACTCCCACAAGTTAGAAAGTCAAGGGACCTTCCTAATTGACTCCAATAAAAGTCTCACTTCCATGACTTAACCAATTTTAAGATCTACTTGCCACCGCACAGTGGCAGCTCATGCTGCCTGCCAAGAGAAAAGCCAGTTACAGGGAGACACGGGTATGGTAATGCAAGCAAGGTTCAAGAGGGACTGTTCTCCAAAGACTGCCTCCCAGAGGAGAAAGGGAAGAGAATTTATAGTGACTTTAGGCATGGGGTAGAGGTTTGAGGACTTTGAGAAACTTCTTCATTGTTCTGTTTATCTCAAGTTGTACTGATCCTTCAGGGGAACTTCTTTACTCCTATAGTAGTTCTCCATTGCTATTGTTGTTAAGTGCTGTTGAGTTGGTTCCTAAGATCAGCTGGTGAGTTTGATCCTCCCACCTTGCAGTTCAAACTGAACTTGTGGTCCAGTGCTACAGTGCCACACCTCAGGGTGGCTGCTAAATACTGACGAACCTAAAGGAAAGTACCAGTCAAGGTTAGAAGTCCTGGTGTGGTGCTGTAGAATAAGCACAAGACTACAAGTTTGGTTTGAACCACAAGGTCAGCGGTTCAAACCCACTAGCCACCCCTCGGAAACCCTATATAGGGTCACTATGAGTTGGAACAACATAATTGTCCTCAAGATGGGTGCTGAATACAGATTAACCTAAAGGAATGTCCAGGTCAAGGTTAGCACTAATGACCTCTCCCCTTAGTTTCAGCTTCATAATCAGAATGCTCCTTGGTGTCTAACTTGCAACACTACCCATAAACTGCTCTTAGCCGACATCTCAGCCTCAGTGTAAGACCGCCACTATTTCCCAGAGTCCTGGTGTGGCTCTGTGGGTTGAAGTGCTGGACTGCAAGGTCAGTTCAAACCTCAAGGTCTGTGGTACCATCCACTTGGTGGCACTTAACTGGACAGCCCTTAACAACACCAAAGACCTTTTGATTGAGTTAGAATCAAAGTATTACAAAGTTAGTATCACAAAGTTGAGAGGAGGTCTTACCACAGAAATAGACTCACTCCATGGCATCAGTGGTGTTGGTGTTGGTGATATGCCATGAAGTCAGTTCCAACTCATAGTGACCCTGTTATAGGGCTTCCAAGATTGTAAATCTTAATGGGAGCCTCATCTTTCTCCCACAGAGTGGCTGGTAGATTTGAACTGCAGAACTTTCAGTTAGCAGCCTGACTCGTAACCCACTACGCTGCCAGAGCTCCTTGTGATATCAGTAGCTCTCCAAAACAGAAATGCGTTAGTCATAATGCTAGCCTCACATGGGGGAGTTTGTATATTTTTAAATGCTACCTGTTTTTATGTCCATAAAACAGGCCCAAAATCAAGAAGAAATCAATAGTGCTAAAATCACAACAGGATTGAGCAACAATTGAGAAAGCCCTCAAGCCCAAAGTCCTGACTTCTCCTGGATAACATCATGGTTTCCCAACTGTAAGTGGCTCAAGTCCTTATTCTTACCGATCCTCTGTACTCTGCTTTAACTGCCTCCCATACTGTCTTCCATGTTCTATTTTCCAGGTAGCCTACTTAAGTCCCCATCCACTACTAATAGTGAGGTCTGAAAACCCAGGTTTCCCCCTTGAGAAACTATAAAATAACACCAAACTGCTTCATCAAAAACACTCCTGTTCAGCACGAAGTAGTTAAGACCAGTTGTCACCCTGTTTCCCATGCTTGGAAAAAATAACAAGAGGAGGAAATTATAAGGAGGTCAAATCGGAGAACTGGAATTCTTTCCAGCCAACAGGCAAGGACCTGACATTCCTTCTATTTAATTAAAAGGAGTTGAAATTCCTTCCAGCTAACAGCTGGGACTAGAGTCCTGGTGTGGCGTTGTAGGATAAGCACTGGTTGGTGTGAACCGAAAGGTCAGCGGTTCAAACTCACCAGCTTCTCGGAAACCCTACATAGGGTCACTATGAGTTTGAAAAACTTATTAGTCCTTGAGATGGGTGCTAAATACTGATTAGGGTCACTATGAGTCAGAAGCAAGTCTACAAGCAAGGCACTTAACAATCAAAGTAGGGACTAGGATTCCTTGTAGTAGCCTGGCCCCCACTCTGCTCCTAATAATGCAAATTAACTGTCCTGAGGTCTCGCAGCCCCTGCCCCCACTTCTTCCTCTGGCCCTAGCTCAAGAAAGGAAAACCAACTTCCTTAAAGTTGTGTTTCAGGACCACCAATCACCACCAGTCTAAAGCGGTGCCGCCAGATTTCACTTCTGATACTTGTGCAGAGCCACCCAGTGTATCAGATAGATGAATTTATGACATATTCCCGAGAAATCCACCCCGCAGAGCATGCAAAGGCAGCCATTCTTTGAACATGGGGCACATGAAAACCCATGTTTGCTGTGAGTGCAATCACTCTACCTCTGATCCCTATACACTAGTTTGTCTCCATGATATGTAGGTGTATACCTCTCCTCCCTTAAAAATCCTATAAATTGTATCCTGCGACAGCCCAAGTTTAGAGGAAATACCTCTGGGTTCCTCGCCTGCCCACAAATAAATGTGGATTTCACTTTCTCGAAAAACTGGCATCGTGAATACTGGCTTTCTCCAGAGTCAGTTACAGGCCCAAAAACACTATCCTTAATCCTAACCTGAGAAATAACCCTACCATTAAGCTATGAATTGGAATCGACTCCATGGAGATGGGGGTTTTTTCGGTTTAGATCTAATCCTTACCCCAGAACTAGTGTTAACCAAAACTGCTTCGAACCCAAATCCTAAACCTAAATTTAAATTTATTTCCCCCAATCCTAACCGTACCACAATCCTAACGCTAATTGTCCCTAACCTTAGTTCTAGAACTAAATCCAACTTTAACCTTAACCCTAAATGTATTTCTAAGCCTAAACCTAGATATAACCTTAACCTTAACTTTAGATCAAAGAGTTGTTAAGTGCTATCGAATCGGTTCTGACTCATTTCGACACAGTATAGGGTTTCCGAGGAGCAGTAGGTGAGTTTGAGAACCGCTTGATCCTGCGGTTACTCCACACCAGGACTCCAGATCAAAGGAGTAGGGCGGTAGAATTAAAGAAGTAACAACAAGTAATCTTTCTTAGGGGGCAAAATAATTGAAGAAGAGACGACTTAAAGGAGCACAACACAGTTTGACCCTCCATACTAGCTTTCTCGGGGTATCAACCCAAAAACGACGCTTTGGGCGCCTAGGAGGCCCCGCCCGTGTCTTCGGCCCCGCCCACGAGCGCAGACGCCAGGGGCGTTCCCGCGGCAAGGCATCAGCAATCTATCCGGGGTGGTCGGCGCGGCGTGCTCAGCGGCAGTAGCGGCGACTTTGGGCCCTGGGGCGCCAGCGGGGAGCGGGCCGGCGCGTTTGGGGTAGTGAACTAAACGGCTGTAGTGTGTCTTTAGGTCTCGGCGTCTGGCTCTTGGAGCAACAGCGGCAAGAGGAGGATGGCGGAGTCCTCGGATAAGCTCTATCGGGCCGAGTACGCCAAGAGCGGGCGCGCCTCCTGCAAGAAATGCAAGGAGAACATCCCCAAGGACTCGCTCCGGATGGCTATCATGGTGCAGGTGCGGGCAGGGAAGCTTCGAGCTCGGGCCGCTTTGTATGGAGCGGCGGGAGCGAGTGCCGGGCATAGCCCCTCCCTAGGAGCACAGACCTATCTCCCCCACCTCCAGTCGCCCCCGGCTAGGGAAACTGTTGAAGGGAAGGGTTGGGGGAGGATTCAGGTGGCGGATTTGCCCTAAGCAGGGGGTTGGGCCCCGGCCTCTCGAGCAGCATTCTGGGCTTTGTAGAAACTGCTCTTCGCTGTGCGGCCTGCTCGGGACTCTCCCGGATGGTGTAGCAAAACCCCGGGAAATCTGGAGTTGGTGGTACCTTGTGCTTGCTTATTCAAATGAAGGCGATGCTTGTATTTCAGTTTTGGAGTGGAGGAGTTATTGTTTATGTTTCAGCGAATAGGCTTAGGAAAAAAATATGCGTGATCTTTAGACGTTAGTCTGTTTTGTTTCGTCTTCGGGCTGCGAACCGAAAGGTCAGCAGTTCGAAACTACCAGCTGTTCCGCGGGAGAAAGATGAGGCTTTCTGCTCCCGTAAAGATTTACAGCCTCAGAAACCCTGTACAGGGTCGCTATGAGTCGGAACCGACTCCACGGCACATAACAACAACATATTGTAGAATACACTTTTGATAAGGCGCTGTAGGATCAGCACTGGACTGTGAACCACAAGGTTGGCAGTTCAATCGCACCAGCTGCTGCTGTTTGGAAACCCTTTCAGACTTAGGCATTAGTAGCCAATGGGGCTTAAGGAGACTACCAGGGAAATAGAGGATCACTTTCAGTCTCGACAGTACATTTTATAACCGTTTTAGATTTTCAGAACAATTAAACCAGAGACATTTTCATATACTCCCATCCCCCCCCTGCATACAGTTTTCCCTATATGTTGTTATGGGCCGTGGAGTCAGTTCCGACTCATAGCAACTCTCTGCAGGGTTTCCGAGGCTGTAAGGAGCAGAAAGCCTCCTCTTTGTCCCGCGGAGCAGCTGTTAGTTTCGAACTACTGACCCTGAGGTTAGCATCCTGATTCGTAACCAATATGTTACCAGAGCGCCTTTTATAGCATCTTTCAAAAGTGTAATATATTTGTGGCAATTGATGAACCAGTGTTGATAAATTATTCTAAGTGGTTATGAATCGGGCTGCTAATCTCACGGTCAGCAGTTCAAAACTAAGAAACTAACAGCTGTTTCACGGGAGAAAAATTAGGCTTTCTGCTCCTGTAAAGATTTACAGCCTCGGAAAACCCTGTACGGGGTTGCTGAGTCAGAACTGACTCTACGGCACATAACAACAACAGAGTTTACAGTTTACATTAGGGCTCATTCTTTGTTATACATCTTGTGGATTTTTGACAAATGCACCACCGTTACACTATCATGTTAGTGCCATCTAGTCGATTCTGACCCATAGCGACCCTTTGGTTTCCGAGGAGCAGCTGGTGAGCTTGAACCGCTAACCTTGCAGTACAAACGACTTTGTAGTCTGGCTCATTAACACACAGCGCCCCACCAGGACTGATTAATAATCTTGTGCTCCACCTGTTCCTCCTTTCCCTGACTCCTAGCAATCACTTTTCTCTCTCCTTGTAGGCTTGACTTTTACAGAAAGCCGGATGATTGAAATCATACAGTATGTAGAATTTTCAGACTGGAAATTTGTCTGATTTTGACCTACCTTGTGCTAGAAGATTTTTGTCCTACATTGATTGTGCCTGCTGGTATAGAAGGATGTTTTAAATCTATTTTGGACTGTGATTTCACTTCCTGCTTACCCACAGTTTTGAATCTTGATTATATGCAAAATGATGCACTCACTTTGGGCTTAATTTACGTTCTGTGGGTTGTTTTTTTTTTTTTTTTAACTTTTTATTGTGAATTAAGTGAAGGTTAACAGACAAGACCATTAGTTTTATTGTCAACAAATCATATGCTTTATTTAACCTAAATGATTCAAAATAACATTTGCCCCACACATCCCAGGTTCACAGATGTTCTCTTGATGAATTTATAGTTGTCTTTTTATGAATACAAGTGCAGTGATTAAACATTGGGCTGCTAACCAAATGATCGGAGGATCAAACCCACCAGCCCTCCTTGGAAGAAAGATGAAGCTGTCTGCTCCCATAGATTTACAACCTTGGAAACCCTTTTGAGCACTTCTCTGTTCTACAGGTTGCTGTGAGACAGAATGGATTTGACAGCAGTGGGCAGGTTATGAGTAGAGTGGCTCTGAGTGTTGGTCTTCTGGGCTTTTTGACCAGTTGAGGATCTCCCTCAGTGCCCAAGGGGTGTTAGAGTGTCTTTAAGTGTGTGGGAGTGGGTCTTAAGGCTCCTGCTAAGGCCTAGGGGTTCCTGCCACCTCCACCTTCCAATTTGCCAATGTAATTCTGGTTCTCACAGGTCCTAGTCCTCCCCACTTTCCACTTAAAACTGTCTTACCCCAGTTTAGTGCTCAGTGTCAAGGCAGCTCTTCATTTTCCTTCTTTGCAGTGAGACAGCAGCATGTATGAAGAAAGATTAGAGAGCCCTCACTGGATTTTCAGGACTTAACTGGCAGAGAGGAACCCTAGAATGTTAACCAAAAGACCAGGGATTTGAACCTATTAAGCTGTTCCATAGGAGAATGTGGCAGTGTGCTTCTGTAAAGACTACGGTCCCGAAAATCCTCGGGAGTAGTTCTGCTCTGTCCTGAGTCATAATCAATTTGACAACAGTGGATTGGAATAAAGAGGGGAAGGGGCTAGCACATTTTTGTGAAGGAAGTATTTAGTGCCAGATGTACTTCGGTTTCCTCATTTCATATTATGGCAGGTTCTGAGGCTGTTATCTTGGCTTCCTCAGGGTTTACCCAGTAAACATTTATTGAGCACGTACTAAGTTCCAGGCAAGGAACACAAAGACACACTGCCCTTGTTGGCTTCCAATTAGTTAAAGAGAAGATGGCTGGTAAGCACCCTGATCAGGTGCTTCCCCTGATGGAGCTGTGTGCCTAGGAGAGGAGGCCAAGAGGTCCAGCTGAGTGAGAGCTTGAGTAGGAGTCGCTTACAAAATGATGAGGGGTTGCAAGAAGATAGAGAAGTAGACTGAGCCATACTTGAAGTTATATCTTAGCCTTGGGAACCCTGTTGAGCACTTCTCCTCTGTTCTATAGGGTCGCTATGAGGCAGAATGGATTTACAGCAGTGGGCACGTTATGAGTGGAGTGGCTTTGAATGAAGCGTTGGTAGAGTTCTTGCCTCCTGTGAGGAGACCCATACTCCCAGGTTCTTTTTCCAGCCAGTGTACCTCATGGGCAGCCACCACCCATCGTCAGTCAGTCATACTGTGGCAGCTTTTGTGATGCTGGAAGCTATGCCACTGGTATTTCAAATGCCATTAGGGTCACCCATGGTGCACAGGTCTCAGCAGTTTCCAAACTAAGACAGACTAGGAAGAAAAGCCTGGCAAACTACTTAGAAAATTAGTGAAAACTATTCCTAACATCACTAGGGGACATTGTTAGAGCCACACGCTGTTATGGAGATGGTGCAGCCCCTGGCAGTGTTTCTGTTGTTACCATGACTTGGAGCTGACTCCATGGTGTCTAACAATAGGAATGGACTTCGAACTTTACCCTGAGTATATGGGGAGCCTGGTGTGGCGCAGGCTGTACTAGGAAACCCTGCATTCATACAGGGTTGCTGTGAGTCAGAACCTGTGGAGGCACTTAGCAACAACAAGCTCTTATGAAGAGCACTGGGGACACAGTGGTTAAGCACTCATCCTGGAACTGAAAGATTGTTGTCAGTTCGAGCCTACCAGCTACTCCACCAGAGAAAGATATGGCAGTCTGCTTCTATAAAGATTCCCACCCACTGTCTTCCAGTTGACTTTGACTCAGGACCTTATAGAACACAGTGGAATGTTCTGTAGGGGTGTGGCTGATGGATTTGAGTCCCTGGCCTTGTGGTTAGCTGGTTAGCAGGTCAACCTGTAAAGATTGCAACCTTGAAAACTCTGGGGCAGTTCTATTCTTATGTTGTTGTGAAGTGCCGTCGAGTCACTTATGACCCATAGCCACCCTATATATAGGGTTTCCAAGTAGCAGCTGGTAAGTTTGAACCGCCGACCTTACAGTTCAAATGACTTTGCAGTCTGGCACATTAACCCACAGCACCATACCAGCACTCCACTCTGGCCTGTGTTGTTGTTGTTGTTGTGAAGTGCCTGCTGTTGAGTCGGTTCCAACCCATAGTGACCCTGTATAGGGTTTCCAAGTAGCAGCTGGTGAGCTTGAACCATCAACCTTGCATTTCAAACTGCTTTGCGGTCTGACACATTAACTCTGGCCTAAGGAGCTCTGGTAGCGTAGTGGTTACGAATCGGGCCGCAAGGTTAGCAGTTCAAAACTACCAGCTGTTCCGTGGGAGAAAGATGAGGCTTTCTGCTCCCGTAAAGATTTAACAGCCTCGGAAACCCTGTATAGGGTTGCTATGAATCGGAACCAACTCCACAGCACATAACAACAGCAACAACATAGGAGTCCTGGTGTGGCGCTGTGGGTTAATGCGCTGGACTGCAAAGCCATTTGAACCACAAGGTCGGCGGTTCAAGTTCACCAACCACTCCTCAGAAACCCTGTACAGGGTTGCTATGTTTGGAACCAACTCAATGGAAATTAACCAACTCAATGGAAATTACAACAATAGGATAGTTATAAGTTGAGATCAACTTTTGGCAGTGGATTTGGTGTCGTTTTTGGCTTACTGTCCTAGTATGAGGATTCTGTAGAGGTTCTTAACCTGGGGTATGGATGGTGACTAGATCTCAGAACTTTATGAATTT